CAACGATACGAGCGGTTCCTAGCCCTACAGAGAACGTGTGACCGGCCACTAGCAGTTATCCGAGATGTACGAACACGATGGAACTCCACATTTGATATGTGTGAGCGTGCAGTTAAGTTGCAGGTTTATATTGATGCCTGGCTACAGCAAGAGATTGCTATAAGAGCACCAATCCGGCCAGAAACTGAGAGGAGTGAGCTAGATTCACGGGATCTACGGAAGCTCCAACTAGGCCCAAGTGAGTGGCATCATATTAGAGCTATCACGCGTATGCTCAAGAACTTCAAAGATGCCACCCTTGACCTAAGTAGTAGTACTAGCCCCCAGATCCAGGCTATCTGGTCTATGTACACTACCCTCTTTGATTTCTTAGATGCAATGACAATAGAGATTGGTGAGGAGTCAGATCACAGGAATCCGGAATGGCCAAGTATTGTTAGAGCTGCTGCTGCAAAGGGTAGAGAGAAGCTCTCTAAGTACTACGCTATGACTGCAGATGAGAAAGGCTACCTTTTCAACATGGCCACTGTGCTAGATCCAACCCAGAAGCTTACTGTGTACGTGGTGCGTTTGTCACAGTTATTTATCACAGTCCTGTGCTGACAGTCCACCTAGGGTGACGAGTGGGAGCGTGAGTGGAAGCATACCTATAGGAACCAGTTTGTTGACTATACTATGCGGTATAGAGGAGGGACCTTCCAAAGGCAAACACTAACTAGTCCTCCACCTTCAGCTCAACGAAGTCCTTGGTACCAACGGCCCTCTAGTACTGCAAGCAGTCTTCTAAGCAGCTTTGGAAGTCAGGGACATCAGCATAAGGAAATAATAACACTGGACGAGGCCAACGACTACCTAGAGATCCCCTGTGTAAGAGATTCACAAGGCTCCTTTGACTTACTTAATTGGTGGAGAAGCAACGCTAGTAACTGGCCTTATCTACATCAGGTTGCTAAGGATGTGCTAGCAATTCCAATTGCCCAGGTTGGTGTAGAGCGGACTTTTAATATTGCTAGGGAGGTTATTGGAGTTTAAAGGCATCATCTTCACGGTCAGACCCTTCAGAAGATTATGCTCATGAAGGACGCAATTGCAAATGGCTATGGTGAATCCTATAGTCATAGGCAGAGGCAGGATAAGCAGGCTGAGGTGCAGGATGAGAGTCTACCCCTTGATGAGAGGGATGATTTGCTACGTTTACCTGCTACAATCCTAATCCCTAGCCCTCTGATTGATCAGGCGCAATTTGAAACCCAAGAGGTGGTTGAGGTTAA